TTAATTCGTTCAATTGATAGAGGTGACCATAATTTGCTTGGCACTCATCTTCTCCAATACTCAATAGAACTTTGCTTCAACTATTCATCCTCACAGTTGGCATTGTCATCCTTTAGCTCTTCATCCACACTCTCTTTAATGAATGTGGTTATACTCTCAGCATGGTTTCTGTGTATAATGCCAACAGATTTCCGTAAAAATTCCACCATCTTCTGATTCGATTTCCCAAAAAACTGACAAAGAAAACCAAGAAATGGTAAAACATCCATTCAAACACTTAATAAATTAACACAATATACCATAAAATAGCATTAATTCACTTTTGAAAATCTATAGCATGAAAGCAAACCTTGTCTTTGTAGATTTTTTTGAGCTCAGCAACACCCCCAATGCCGTTCTCCACAAGTTTTTTCAAATTTCTTGGCCCCACGCCAGGAATTGTCAACAAACCCGGGTTTCCTGGAAGCAGTGGCGGAGCATTACTACCACCGCCCAGAGAACCCCTCTGTCTCCTATTAAATTTCATGGCCTTTTCTTCTGAACACCCGCCATGATTGTCCCTATTATTTTCAGAGTTCATAGCCGAAACTGAAACCCCCTTATCAGAAAAAGAGGTATGAAACCAAGCTACACGAGATCCACTTCGATTCTCCTTAAACACAGCCCATGCTCTAGCAGGAATAGTAGTAGCACTCTCAATAGAGCACCGGCAGTGGCGACATTTGTAGTTAGAACTAGGAGCAACAGGACGAGAGCTCGAGCAAGTGCCACGGTTACCAAAAGAAAACGAAGGGCTTCTACAGCCCATGGCAGTGGCCATACCGGAAGTACGTGGGTGGAAACCTGTGGCGGCGAAAGGCATCAATGGTGTAAATGAACTGGGCTTCTTTTTCTTAAACCCTAGATAACGGAAGCTGGGATTAAACCCTGTAGGGATAAGGGAAATACGAGGGGTTAAAATGTCAGCTGAAGAGCAGAGGATGGGGCCTCCTGAACAAGGATTTCGACGCAAAAGCTTCTGCATAACTTCCAACCATTTCCTTATCACTCTCACACCATTTCTTTGACTTTTATCTTCGACTTCACTGTAAAATTCACGTTCTGCAACTGGGTGTAGATAAACCACATCGAGAAAGTGGGAATGACCAAGGGGCGGCAGCCCCTGGCGGGTCCAAGGGGCAGAGTCCTTGCTTGGCTCGAGGAAATTTTTTATTTAGGTAATATTGCTTTGTAAAAAATTATCAGAAATCCGAATTTTAGATTTTAAATCCGGTTTTTTGGCCCGGTTTTTAAACCCGGTTTTGGGTGAAAAAACTGCCGTTTTTGACAGTTTTTGCATGTATTTTTTTTTTCAATCTTCGAATTGGTCAAATTTTTCGTGTAGAGATAGGTATAGAGATTTCATAACAATTTTGGATTCGAAGTTCTGTCAATCACTGAATTTTATCCGATTGAGATTTCGATTGTACCGTCGAAATACTTCAATCTGAAAGTGATAAACGACTTTCAGTGGATTCCAAGCAAAGATTTTCTAACATTACGCCTCCTAGGGTTTCAGAAGTGAGTTACAACAATCGCCCCTTAACACTCTCTAATATACAAGTTAGGTCCCTTTTGTATTTTTTGGTGCACTTGATGAGTTACTATTATTTTTTAAATTTTAAAAGGTATCATTTTATAATTTTTTAAGAAAAATTCACCAAACTAACCACTTTATACCTTACATATTAAGAAAATAACCATTTTTAAACCAAATTGCGAAAAACGGACCCCTAAATCGCCCCTGGGGGGTGATCTAGACAGGAGGGTGCCGATCCACCCCTGGGAGCGATCCACGTCATCCCATCGCCCCCCGGGGCGATCCAACCTAGAAATATATTATTTTTTTGTAATATCTATTAAGGGGTGTTTTTAATAAAAATGAGACGATATTTGAACTATTTTTTAACCTCTTTTTCTTGGTTTTATTAAATAAAATAAAACAACTTGTAGTTTCACAACCTGTAAACCTTATAAAAATACGATTGTACGTGAAGATTTTTTTAAACGCATAAATCAGATATATTTTCCTTATAAGAAATGTTGATTTTCCCTAATAATTGTGGATACGAAAAAATTTATTTGTATCTGATTTGGTGGACAAAAATCAGATATTTTATGTTGAATCTTATTGTCTTTTAGTGCAACAAATTTCACTATAAATACCAACCTCCTACTTTATTATTTTTCAAATCTGCTCTTTCATTTTTCTTTTCATATATTCTACTCTCACAACCCTTAACCCTTAACCCTTCAACCCAATAAACCATCACAATCCTTAACCCATTAAACACAATCAACCATCACAAAACATGAAATCACGTCAAAGTGATGATGTTTTCGTGTATCTTCGAAGTGGCGGTTTATTCCCAGAGATAAATGGTGCGTTAGAGTACCTTACATGTGTAATATGTTTTCCTTCGCCAATAACGTATTATGGGGTCGTCAAACGTGTGACAAAAAAGTTAAGTTTACGTGCTCCTTTCATTTTATTTTATAAAACGAATACGTTATATCAGTTAATGGATGACGACAATGTGGTAATCTTCCACAACGCCATTCGTCAAAGTTTACCAGAAACGTTGACACTCTTTGCGGTCGACGATGGAGGTTATGGAGGAAATCCATTAAGTGCAAACCCGGGCGATCCAAACACTTTTTACCCTAGTGGTGTAAGCTGTGGAAATTCAAGCACACTCTTCCCCAACGGTAGCGGTGCAAACCCATATGGTCCAAGCACACTCTTCCCTACCGACTGTGCTCTTGTTGTAAATCAAAGCACTTTCTTCCCTAGTGGTGGCAATAATGAAAATCCAAGCACCTTCTTCCCTTATGATGCTGGTGGAAATTCAAAATTTAAACCAAAAAATACCGTTCAACCCGACAGTTATTTGGTTCAAGATTTGAACATGTCTCCGATGCAGTCTCCCAAATAGTACCCGATCTGGTCTCCTGAACAGTCAAAACCTTTGTGGGAGGTAGATATGGCCAAAGATGTTTCTGTTACTGCCGAAATTTTGAACATACCCGAAGACGATAACTTCGATACTGAAGAAATCCAGCCGGTAAGGAATAGTTTTGGGGGTATGCCCGACCCAACACCTTGTCTAGACCCAGTTATCAAAAGTAGACAGGGTGTTGATCCCAGATCTCTCAATAACACTAATAATTAAGTTAAGAATAACCTAATTATGTCGTGTGGATAAATAAAATGACGAACACTCAAGAACAAAATATGAATATTCAAAGAATATACTTGAGTGCCGGAATATTCACTTTATTCCAAATGATTGTGAAAAGCATTAACCGATTACAATAGGCCTAACACCTATTTATACTAGAAAGCTAAACAAGCAGATAACTATCTAGAGAGAATATCTAGAAAATCTTCTAGCAAAGATAAAGCTTATCTAGACATGGTCCAGCTGTTGATTCGTCATCTCCAAATGTCTTCTATGGAACGTTATTCAACCATATCTTGATATCTTCATCGTATGCCTCTAGTTGAACTGTTGTAGAAGACTCCAAGTATTGGTAACCAGAGGGGTTATGAAGATGCTCGATTCATCGCATCTTTGGTCGATTCATCGGTCTTCTGGTTGTATTGAACACTTAGTTATTTTGCTTGGCAGTCTTCCATCGGCCTTTTGGTCCTTCACACTTGTTTTTCATTACTTTTACAAATAAGAATTATGGGGTCTAACAATCTCCCCCTAAGTAATGAAAGAACAAACATAAGTTAATCTATGAACATTCAAGGCATAAGTGAAAGACAGAGGCTAAACTAAAGAAAAACATCCTTTGCCAAAAAAATTCATTGGACAAAGTGATGAATTCTTACAAGTGATGGAACAAAAATGATATTACAATACAAAAAAAAAATACTTCATTCATGATCTTCTTGTGTTATCTCCCAGAAGCGCATCAACAGTCCTCTGAATCAAATGACTGTTGCGATCTAATGAATAAGTTGTTGACCCTCTCTCATCGGCACATGAGGTCTGCCCAATCTGTCTCTGATGACCTTCTGAAATGATTCAAGTGTTGAAGTTGAATACTTGAAGGCTTCAGTCAGTCAAAAAAATTCTTCACCCCAAACTCGTTTTTAAACACCAATCTGAGCTCTGGTTAAGTTAATACTGAGGCAGATCTCTTCTCTTGCAAGCCTGGAAAGTATTCGTCTGGAGGAGTGCAGGATAATCTGTCGATGCCTAGATTAAGAACAATTTGAAAGTCGCTCTTTGCTCTGTGCTTCACCAAGGTCTCCATCGCTTGAACAATCGCTCGGTTTGCCATCCCAAATTTGATTCCTTGATCCTGTCGCTGAGTCGTGTATTCATAAAGATCAATCAAGTCCCATGGATTGAGATTGATCAAGTCATTGTCATTGAAAATGTTGACCTGTCCATGAGCTCGCTCCACGGTGTACTCGATGTATTTTATAGCTCTGTTAGCGAAGGTCCTTATTTTGATGTCCAGAACTGTCTTGATTCCTTCATTTGAGAAGACGGCCTGTGGTGGAGAGGTTGTCTGTCTTACAAACCTATGGCGCAAGAGGTTCATCAACTCTGGTGATAGCATGGGAGGATTGAGTACCAAACTTTCATCGTGATCGTGATACAAGTACTGATGGATATTCTCCATCATCACTGGTTCCCTTGGTGGCATCTCTGGACGTCTCCTCAGTGTCTCCAAATTTGTAATGATCTCATCGACTATGCCTTGAGGAGGATGCCTCGATGAGGAAGGGATGTCTACTAGCACTTACGATGGTTGGGTAATAGGTGGTTGATTTTGGGTGATGGGTTGTGTTTGGGTTAAGGGTTATGTATGGGTTGAGGGTTGAGGTGATGGAATGGGTTCTAGTTGTGTTGGTTCAGGTTGGGTTGGCTCTGGTTGGGGTATTTAGTTCAATAGGCTCATGTTGGGTTGTTTCTGGTTGGATGGGTTCTGTTTGGGTTGGTGGTTGATGAGGTAAGGTAGGTTGGGTGATGATGGGTTCTTGTTGAAATGGGAGGTCGATGGAAGGTTCTATGTGAGGAGGTGTTGGTGATGGAGTAAAGGGTAGGTTAGTTTCGGTTTGAGGGTAGATGGGTTTTCATCGGATGAAGAACTCGCCTCAATTGGTGAGAACTCATTGGTTTGGGTTATGGGTTCTTGGGTGCTAGCTATGGGAACATGTACATTGTGTACATCTTTAGAAGGTTGAGCCTCTGGTTTCCTAGCTTGGGTTCCTTGGGATATGGAAGTTGGGTGGCTTTGTGGTGGTGATGGTGGTGGTGCAGCGGATTCCATCGATTGAGCAGCCAGGTTCTCCCCCTCATGAAAACCTAGACCATGATCATCTTGGTTAGGATCCTCATGCCTTGGCCTCTTTAGCGGGAGGCTAGATGAGTAGGAGGCTCTGCTCCTCTTCTTCTTCCATCGCCTTATGTGCTCGGCAAGCGTATGCACTCGTTCTTTGTTTCGTTGTTGTTTCAATGTACGAAGAAGAGAGTTTGTCTGATCTTGCTGTTGGAGGAGAGACTTCTTCAATGCATTGGTTGGCTCAACAGCTCTGGCCGCGAACTTTGCACTTATCTCGTTGAACGATGAGATAAGTGCCTTGGAGAGAGCCTTCATGTCGGCTCTGGTGGCATAGTCTTCTGGGGTGGTGTGGGGTGTTGAGGTTGAAGGAGGGATGGATGTTGAGGTGGTTGCTGGTGGTGGGATGGGTGAGTTGTGTTTATTGGGCCGGGGGATGCGTGAGGAGTGTCATCATCATCATCTTCATCATTCGATGAAGACAACTCCTGCACTCCCTCGCTTGCATCAGGGGAAGGCTCTATTTGCTCTGGGGTAGCCGTCCTCGGTTCTTGGGACAACAGAGAGCGTTCATATTTCTTACGTATCTTAGACGTCTCTAGAATGACACTGAGCATGGCCCTTGAGATGGTCCTTTATGTTGTGTAACCATCCTTAGAGATGGTTGGTCAATGGCCGTTCATTAGGTATTGTGGAGTGAACGGTTCTTCGGCCCGCAGATTGTGCCTCCTCATTGC